GGGAGGTTCTTACATGCAAAGCACGTGTGTAGAAGCTCTGGGTTCTGGGTGGAGGGCTCTGGTTCTGGGCTTTGGCTTCTGAACTTAGGGTACCAAACTCTAGTTCCACATTCTAGGCTCCAGGTTCTGGATCTAGAGTCGGAATTCCTCCAACCCCTCAGCAATGATGATAGAAGCACAAGGCATTCCTCTTGACTAGTAGGACTGCTTCTCTCCACCATCTTCATCCATGGGCGGCTTGGAGATGGGACCCTGCCTTTTTGTCTCTACTCTATTCCCAACCTCAAGTCAATGTTCTGGAGACAAGTATTAAGATGGTCACAGAGAACCCATCACCTGGACTCTGCGGGTGTCACACATTCATGGTCTCAACTCTTCCTGGACCCCACGAGGACTACCCCAGGCATGAAGCCCCTGGAGCTGGGCCCAACCTGGGCTGTGTATTAGTGAATTGATTCAGTATATCCAACTGTGTATGTTCTCCCACATCACTCTCCACACCCTTAGAAGCTGAAGTCACCTGACTGCCCAGCCAGGGCCCCTGTGGGGTGTACCTTGTGATCATCCCCGCTGATGGGGGTGGCTACCCAGGCGCACTCAGCCTTCAGCTTTGTCAGCATTTCTAGCCTGGGCACTGGGTGAGCACCCCTGCCTCTATCTGCCCCTAGTCTGTCCCAGGGCAGGGGTCACCCTGTGCCCTATGCTGCTCCTGTGCCTGTGCTGTGCTATCCGTTCCCCAGGCCCAGGACCATCAAGGAGGTGGGTGGTGAGGAACAGGGAGCCTGTGGCAAGATAGTCTCTCAGAGACTTGGGACTAGTGGGACTTGGGTTTCACAGGCCTCCTTGAGGAAGTGACAGGCACTGTCTCAGCCTCGTTGTCCTCTGTAAACTGGGAAAACGGGGAGGGTGGGAGGACACAGTGGTCATAAACATGTTCTTTCCTTCCTGCTCGCTGAGTGCTGGGTGCGCAGGTCCAGCTCCCTCTGCCTGGAGCCCACAGAGGTCAGGTGACGGGGAGCAGTGCTACTTGGTTTCCGCCATGCAAGAACCCAGCAGTCAGTGTATGATACAACCCTGTGACTTGGTCAGAGCTTGTGCCCCATGTCCCTGTCCGATGTCTGGACCTCTGTCCTCATGGGACCCAGTCAGGCTAGGCCTTGAGCAAGTCTGAGTGTAAGAGACTGACAGGAGGGAACTGGGTTTCCCCATGCGAGGAGCTGCTTCAGGGAGGGGGGTAGGGAGACGGGATGGGCAGGATCTGCAGTGTCAAAGAAAGGTCCTTCTTTAACTGATCCTTTTTTAAAAAATCAAAGGCTAAAGTCTTTGACTACTGTTCCTAGTCCAGGCTCCTGCCTCATCTCCCAGAAATATCCACCATCGTCAGTTTGGTGTGTATCTTTCTAGAATATTCTTTCTCCTTCCTGTATACTTATAAGTGCCTATTTGTTATATCGAGAGGCTTAGTGCCATTTTCTACTTTATTTCCCATGTCTTGGAGAACATTCCTTGTCAGGACATACGACACCCACTTTCCCTATGGCGTGGCATTCCACAAAATGGACAGGCCGCGGGCTTTGTCCTTTCTCTCCCACTCAGCCTTGTCTGCATTTGGTTGTTTGCCAGTTTGGGGATTACAGACAATGCGACAGAGATGGGCTGTCTTGCTTCTGGGAGAAAATGATTACCTAGGGGCTTTGCAGGGGTCACACACTATGTGTTTTTTAACAGAAATTCCTCAACTACCTTTCAAAGTACTCATCAGCATCAGGTAGATTCTGACTCCTGGTGGCCCCCACACAGGGCAGAGGACGGCTGCCTCAGGGATTACGAGACTCTAAATCTTTACAGAAGCAGACTAGCTATCTCACTCAGAACAGCTGGGAGGTTTGAACCACTCACCTTTTGGTAAGCAGGAGAGCTCTTTAACCATTCTGGCCCCAGGACTAGAGAGAGTAAAACCCCCTCCACACAAGAGAGCACTGGCCCTGGTGGACTTTCTGTGTAGCCCCTGCACTCTCTGGTGTAAGTCCTTGCAGGATCCTGGGCCGGTTACTTCCCCTCCTGCAGCTTTGGTTTCATTCCCACCAGGCTGATTGTGACAAGAGATAAAGGATGGAGTGTGCCCAACTTGGGGGGCCCTTAATAAATAAATACAAGCTGTATGTACAGCTGCATTTCATTGCTGCATTGGCAGCGTTATGATAGATGGTGAAGAGATTGAGATTGTTAACAGCTTTAGTTTGCTTGGCTCCAAAATCGACACTCTCTGTACCAGCAGCCAGGAAATCAAAAGATGAATTGTACTGGGAAAATCTGCTGTCCAGAGAGGACAGTAATGATGTAAGTCTGCAGACTAAGGTGTGCCTGATCCAGGTCTTACTTTTTGCAATTGCTTGCTATGGGTCAGAAAGCTGGACAATGACTATGGATGATAGAAAGAGAATTGATGCCTCTGAACTGTGGTGCTGGAGAAGAGTATTGAATGTACTGTGGACTGCCAGAACAAACAGGTTCATCCTGAAGAGGGTGAAGCCAGGCTGCTCCTTGGAAGCAAGGATTCTGAAGCTTCATCTGGCATGCTTGAGGGGGTGGAGGGACAGCACAAGAGAGGAAGACGCTCGATGAGATAGGTTGATTCAGTGACTGGGGTAATGGGGGCAGGTGTGTCAGAGACAATAATGTTGGCACAGGATAGAGCTGGTTTCAGGGCTATTGTCACAAGTGACTCAATGGCACATAATAAAATAACAACAGTTGCAGAGTCTGACCTCTATTGGGGCTTTTCCACATGGTCCATGACCTCCTTTCCTCACAGGGGAAAGAACCCCTAAAAGTAACAAGTATCATTACTGGGTTTATAGAGGTACAGACTAGGGTAAAAGAGTGGGTCTGGCCTGCAGGACCTTCTAACTTTGGGGAGATATCCCATCTCTCACATGTTTATCTTGAGATACATGGAAGCGTGTCCTTTTCCACATTTTTACTGGAAGAAGCCTTAAGTCTCAGCAAGCATGAGGGAGTTTCTGCAGCTGGTAGGAGACAGGACAAGAGTTTACTGACTTGCTTACAGATTTTATTTGAAATCCCTTTCTTTTTGTTCTCCTTTCTTATCTTGAGGGAACTTTGGTAGCCTAATCAGTAGTTAAGTTGTGCTACTAATCCAAAGGCAAGGGGTTCAAATCCACCTTCTTGGGAGACAGATGGACAATCTCCCATGTGATGAATAACTCTGAAAATCTATAGGAGTCTCAGCTATGAGCTGTTCCAGACTCAACAGCAAAGACTCTTCCCACTTTGGCTTTATTCATGTTCAGCTTCCTCCCATATAGGGCTATCTACAAACTCACTATCCTTGGAAAATGGTAGAGAATGAGCGGGCTTGGAATTCTGCTTTGGAAAACTTGAGTCACAAGATCCATCATCCCTGAATCAAATTGTCACCACAGGGAGTATTCTGATTGCCATACCTGATCAAGACCCAACCCAGTAGCCAGGGGTCAAGCTAGTCAAAGAAAACAGACCTGACTCAAAGGCCCATTTTGTGCTCTACTCTGGAAAAAGTTGTGGTGGGTGAGCAAAATCCACTATTCACTTTTAAAGATTTTAGAGCTGAGAGGGAATTCATGACACAGGGAGAATGGAGGGGTTCCTGCAGAGGGAACCACAGGCGTAAACACCTAGAGTAAAGAAGAAAGCGTGACCTGCTTGAGACAACAGGAGATCCCCTCACCCTCAGGCGCCATGTCTCCTTGCTGCTTCTGCTGCAGCACTTACTTTTCTCCCCACCCTACACCCCAGGCTAGGGTTCCACCTTCTGGAAAAGGCTCCCTCCCTGAGCCCCCTCCCCATGGAGGTTCCAGAACTTGCCCAGCTGCCTGGGACAAGGAAGACCTCTGGTTCAAAGCAGAAACGGATCAAAATCTCCTCCCTGTCCACCAACAGACAGAGCCTCCCACACAGAGCTTTGAATGCATGTGAAGAGATCACCAGGCAAGCCTGAGACACAGAGGCCCCAACTAGAGGTCCCTACAGAAACAGTCGACCAGGGCCAGGATGAGGGACGAAGATCCACTGAGGTAGAAGAACAGCACCCCACCTGCAGAGGTTCCTCCCTGCGCTCCTCTCCTTCCTGCTTGGCCTCCTCCTCTTTTTGGTATCTTCTCCTCTCTCTCTCTCTCTCTCTCTC